AGTTTTATAGGTCTGTAATCAGGTTTGTCTACAAATGAGATAATGACAGCAACAAGCCTACTTTTTACTATTCTAAGAAGGGAGTTGAAAGGTCCTTCAGAAAGCCCCCGGGTCTGAAAACAGAGGTTTACAAACAGCAGAGGGGTAGCACTGCAGCTCTGCCACTGTGCTGCTGGCACACCGGTTCATGGCCGAGGATCCAGCACCTGCGGAGTGGATGCCAGGGAGCAGAAAGAAGTGCTAGGCTGCCTAGACTGGAACTTTACTGAAGTTTGGTTTATTTCTCTGTCACAGTAGTAGAATAGTAGCTTTGGAGCTTGGCGCAGCTTCTGTTCATACCAGCAAATGATGACATGATTCAGATTCTCAGGATGTCTTAGGCTTATGGATTTTACAACAATATGGTAAACTTGTGTCTTGGATTCTGGATGACAGGTGTGATAAGTGGAAAAGAAGAAAAAGAGTAAGAGTTGAGGAGTCTAATGTCGTTGCTATGTAATGAAAGGCCCAGAAATAAAACCCAGACAGTTGGAGTCAAACATTCCTTTTTGCTTAGACATCACCTGCAACAAGAATATAAAAGTCCACATGCCCAGAACTCATGGCATGGCCAGCACAGGGTTAAGATACCTGTCTGTTCAGGCTCTGATTCATGGGCTGAGAATTGGGAGTTCACAGAGCTCCAGACAACAGATTGCTGTATCTCCCTGTGATGACAGCATTGCTGGTGGCTTCTCTAGGAGCCAGATGATACACGCGTTCTACTTAGCAGGGCAGTAGGAACATGGCTGGATCAATGAACGAGGCAGACAGTTGTGTCATTTGCTGATTCTTTGAACTTTAGTTGCTCTCCCTGTCTCTACCCTCTGTTCATCCAGGCCTCCCTGCCTCACTCCTAGTTTCTCACATAGGGAGCTCAGAGATTTCTGCCCACATGAATGGCATATGATAAAGTCTAATCTCCATTTTGTATTTTGTGGCTCCGATCAGATGCATGACCTAGTTCTGCAAACTATTTCTACTTTAATAAAGAAATCAACCCCCCAAATTCCTTTATATTCATTTTTCAAAGTATCATGAAAAGTCTCTATAACTCAAGCCTATCAGTGATACTACAACGCCTCCTGGTGGTCAGCCGTAGATTATATGGAAAGAGACTACATTCTGGACCCAACTGTGAACCTGAATGAGGAACAGCAGATCTGTATCCTTAAGATTATCGCAGACATCGTGTGGAACTTGGCTGCTCGGTGGGTCCAGGGTCCCGCAGCCTGGGCATCAGTTGGAGTCTTACTAATAATGAGACTGCAGGTTCTACTCCAGAATGACTAACTAAGAAATGACATTTTTTTTTAAAGATTTATTTTTATTATTTTTTCATTGGAAAGGCGGATATACAGAGAGGAGAGACAGAGAGGAAGATCTTCCGTCCGATGATTCACTCCCCAAGTGAGCGCAACGGGCCGATACTATGCCGATCCGAAGCCAGGAGCCTCTTCCGGGTCTCCCACGCAGGTGCAGGGTCCCAAAGCTTTGGGCCGTCCTCGACTGCTTTCCCGGGCCACAGGCAGGGAGCTGGAAGGGAAGCGGGGCTGCCGGGATTAGAACCGGCGCCCATATGGGATCCCGGGCGTGCAAGGCGAGGACCTTTAACCACTTGCGCCACCGCGCCGGGCCCGACATTTTTTTTTTTAAGCAAGGTTCATGATTTATATTTATGTAAAGGTTGGAGGAGTGATGGACTGAAGATTTTCACAGAAGTTAGAGAAAGATATACAGAATAAATAGCTATGGACTTATGTGATAAATGAAGAAATGTACAGTTGGTTCTGATAACATTGATTGCCTGAGAGTCTTCCCAAGAATATAATTCCTTCCTTCCTTCTTTATCCCAAAGTCAACAATTGGAAATACACTGTGAAGTCTTATGAACTAACTGCCATGCTTTCTGTTACACAAAAGGACTGTAAAATTTCATTTCATAAAATGTGAGAAATAGCTAGGAGTCAAAATTTCTCACTGTTATTCTCTCCCCACGTTTTTCTATAACCCAAAGCCTGACCAACCAGCCAATTTCCCAGCTGCTTTTCTGGGTCTTCAGGCTATAATAATTTTTACAACGTGAAGAACGGGATCAATTTGGGTGTCTAGGATAAATACAAGACTTGTAATTTTATCTCCTTTGTGTCATCTCTCTCAAATGGACATCACAACGCCCACTCCAACACCCAGCTTATATCTATAATGGAAGCTTATGGCTGGAAATGTGGTGTAGTGAGTAGAACCATCGCCTGCAATGCCAGTACACCATTTGGCCACTGGTTTGAGTCCTGGCTGCTCTACCTCCGATCCAGCGCCTTCCCCACAACCTGGGAAAACAGCAAAAACATGGAACAAGTGTTTGGGCACCTGCTACCCATGTGGGAGATCTGGATAAAGTGCCTGGCTCCTGGGTTTGGCCTGATTGAGCCCTGGACATTGCAGCCATCTGCAGAGTGATTTGTGCATGGACAATTCTCTCTCTTTTTCTAAAACTTTGATTTCCAATAAATAAGTCAATTGTTAAAACAGGAAGAAGATTCCTGTTTTAGAGGAGGCAGAAAATCACAGGGAACTCTTAGTGACATGTAAAATGGGGAAATCTTTGCAGCCAGGTGCAGTGCGTGCAGTTTTAAGCTTATCTTCGGCATTCGGAAGCTTCAATTTTCAGCATTCACCCCGCATCTTGAATTCAGTTACTACTATGAGAAACTTGTGAGCAATTGAAGGAAGAACCCTCTTCTCAATGCCTCCATACCAAAGTATCATACTAATATGATACTTCAGAATACTATGTTCCTGTGTTGCCAAAAAGCAGATAGACCACAAAGCCCATTTTCTTTCTTTGGTAGGGGGAGTGGAGCTCAGAATAACTGCTGACTGCTGATGGGAGCTGGAGGGAGAAGGCAGCGCAGGTTTGTGCATGGGCAGGGAGAGAGTCTGCAGTGCTGTGGTTTAGAGCTGGCACAGAGGTATGTGGCAGAGTCCCTGGCTTCTGTGGGCTGGATCTTCAGGGTGGCAGGTGATGCATCAGGCACCTGGGTTGAGAATCGATCCTTGGGCATTCCTTTACTAGCCACAAGAACCTTGTTACTTAAGTAGATCAGCAATTCCAGTCCTGGCTCCAGAGTCTGTCTATACCAGAAAAGTTCAGTGTGCTCTGAAATCGGTTCACATCTTAGGATGGCTTTTTGTCCAGTCCTTGTCACCTCATGCCTGGATGTCTGGATGAATCTCAACATCTGTGTTCCCTAGGAAGGAAACAGAATTTGAGAACAGAAAAGGAGCATTACTGGAATCAAGGACATGTCTGTTTATACTGTTTTATATCTGGAACTTACCTACTACCAGGAAGCAAAGGCTGGAGATGTGATGCCCGATGACCCTGCAGGCCTCAGCACAGAGCCGCCTGTGTTTCTGAATCACTTCTGCATAAAGAATGCTGTTTAACTTGTCCATGATAGTGCTCAAATGCCTGTAGTCCTTCAGGTACTGGATTGACATGAACAAGGATAAGCAAAGAATAGAGACTCCTTGAGAACCACAGGCAAATACTGAACAGTTAATGTCCACCTGCTTTTTCCCTCTATCATCTTTGGTCAGGAAGAGACTTCTGTTATCTATTACACTGTTGCAACAAAGCACACTGCCCTGTGAGTGTGTAAGTGTTATAGGGCAGGGCCATCATCTTTGTAGTTTATTTAGGACCCAACCAAAGGAAACATTTCTTTGTGTTAATGAAATTTGCAGAGCAAGATATGTGGGGAGATGGAATCAAGCGTACTCTCTTACTTCTTTGCCTGCATTTTTTTTTCTGTCAAATTGAAATAAAAATAGCTAAAGGGCTCTCCAATTTGCCCCTGCCCACAATTTTTTTTTTTCTTTTTAAAAGCATCTTCTTTTAATTTGGACTACATGGTGTCATTGTCTCCTTTGTTGAACAGGTATCCCCTCTAGTTGGTAAACATGCATACACAGTACTATTCTTAGTCAATGGGCACAGGAATGAAAGGTTTTGGGTCCTAGCCTCTTTACTTGCTTGCTCAGTGCTCTCCACTGGGGCCTATGATTCAGTTTGCCCCTCAGACAGTCCTCAGCTCCTCCTGGAGAGTCAGAGGTGATGGGACCACAGCGTCTCCTAGCGGCCAGTGGAGAAGAGTCTCTAGAAATGAGCCCTTTGTCAAAGACCCAAAGGGAGCTAGCTACACTGTGCTACATTGTCTCAAGGATAATGGTGTTGCTGGTGTTCCCTGATTTTCAAAACGAAAATCTGAACTCAGTGCAATTGCTGGATTGCCTAATCCTCCTCCTTCAAGCACCAGGATCCCATTTGGGTGTGGTTTATGATCCTGCCACTCCACTTCCCATCCATCTCTCTGCTTGGTGGCCTGGGAAAGCAGCAGAGGATGAGCACAAAGCCTGGAGGTTCTTGGTTCCTGGCTTCAGATCGCCTCAAGTGCCGCCATTGTGGCCTCTTGGAGAGGGAACCAGCAGATGGTTCTTGTCTCTGTCTCTTCTCTGTGTAAATCTGCCTCTCCAAGAAAAATAAATAAATCTTAAAAGAGAGAGATGAACATTTCCTTACACAAATATTAGGTTGAAGTCGGCCTTTGTTTAGAATGTCCACTATCATGGTAAATAACTTCCTTTTACAATCCTTGAAGCTGGTGGTGGGTGAATTCAGTTCAAAGTTCAAACTGAGAAGGGAACAGAAGAGACACAATATTGTGGCAGACACAGTCTATATTAGGAGGTGCTAACTCAGATGGAGAGAGCAAGTGCCGGAAAGCAGGGACACCTGCAGTGTGAGGACTTCAGGCTTTTGTGCTATGTATGTGGTCGGCTTTGAAACCATGGAGGGAGGAGCGGGGGAGATTTCATCCAGGACTGCTGGGACCTGGGCAAAGAAGGCAGCCCCGGGGTTTCTGTATGGGGAAGGGATGACTATGCCATGCTGTGGTTTAACTGCTGGCACAGAAGTACACAGCAGAATCCTTGGCTTCTGTGGGCTGAATCTTCAGAGTGGAGAGCTTTGTGTCAGGCATCTCGGCTGAGAATCGATCTTTGGGCATTCCTGAATCATCTATTGGAGCCTGGTTATTGAAGTAAATCAACAATTCCAGCGCCTGTCCCACCATCTGCCTATACCAGAAGAGGGTATTATGACCTGAAGCGGGCTTACATCTCAGAGTGACTTCTTTTCCCTTCTCTGTCACCTTAAGCCTGGGTGTCTGGATGACTCCAGTATCTGCGGCCTCTATAAAAGAAGACTGAATTGGTGGACAGAAGAAGAGAAAAACAGGGACTCATCGACAGGAAAGCCTCTGAGGATTCTGAGAACTCACTTGCCAGCAGGATACAGAGGACCAAACAGCCGAGGGTCTGAGTGTTCATGGCAGGGTGATGGCAGGGATGGAGAATCCAAATCGGGCCCTGTGGGTCCAAGCAGCGATAAGACACAACTGTCAGTGACATCATCAAATAAGGTGCCACCCCTAACAGAGGCTGCATCCCCGGGACACAAGTCAGGGATTGATGAACTCCAACTAGAACAGATCTGAGACAGACTCAGGTGTAGCAATTCCTTATGCCTCTCTGGGGTCTCTGTGTCTGAGATCCTGTCAGCTATTTCCATCTGCATCTGCACCTCAATCTTAGGTATTTAGAGATGGATCATTTTTCTTCTTGCAAGTTTGTTTCTTCGCAAGCTCTTGTATTCCTATCAATGACAAGTGTATGTTCCTAGTCAAAGTTACACACGTATAATTCATGAGTTTAGTTAAGGGTTGGCTTCTGAGCTCTCCAGGAACAACAGGGATGCCAGCAGCATCATTAAGGCTACAGACAATCAGCGGATGCCCCAAGAGCTGATTAGGTTTGAAAGCTATTTGCAGTGACAGATCTCTCTGAGTTGATTTGTCCCTGAACTTTACTAAAATCTCAGAGCCCATGGCACAGAATCTTTCATGTTGTCTATTCCCACTATGAAATAAGCAAAGCTTTTTCTTGTTAGCAAAGATTTGCAAATGACAATCGGGAGACCTGATTTACAGCTCGTTTCTATGCCCTTAGACAAATGCAGACTTTAAAGTCATTAACCCTGGCCTTTTTCTTATTAAAGGAGCCCCTTTTGGTTCTCCCTCCACTTCAACCTATCCTCTAGGCGTGAAGGTTATGGAAATTAGAGACAAGGTTTCCTGCTTCAGGTTGATTCCTGAGGGTTACTTGCTAATGAAGGGGCAGTTTGCAGTTTCTGCAGTTGGCCTGGAGACACATGTTAGATCATGATTCGGAGAGCCAAGCTGTGTTAAAAACAAGTAGTGTGCAGACGGGCTTGTGTTCCTAAAACAGAAGGAATGCAGTCCCAACAACACCATGACCTTGGTGTGTGAGACCCATTTCAGAATCCTGAGCTCTGAAATGCAAGAAAACAAATATGTGTGTTTTGAAACCCCGAGTTACTGGCAGTTATTTACCCCTCAATGAAACTAATACATCATAGCATTCATGGTGACTGTGGATGATGGAGGCAGAATCTGGATAAAAAAGCTCTGGCTAGCAGGCAAATACACAATTACATGGGGAGAACTTAAAATCAGGCCAAGGGAAGCCTAAGCAAAAACTCTTTATCTCTATCCAGACCCCACCTACTTTAAAGGGATCTAATAATGACTGGAGTGAAGGAAGAAGTTAGAATTAGAAGCTACGGCTTCTTCCTGCAGTGAGTAAACATTCATGGTTTGCGTCTGTCTAAAAAATGAATTTTCTAGCGACAGCTGTTCTTTCATCATTCAGTACATCCTGCAGGGCAGAACTAAGGTCAAGTTTGGGCTGCAGGCTATCCTTGTCTATCTGGATGTCCCTTCTTATTCCCATAAATCACCCTCTCTGAGTAGCATACCTTCCACCCTCCTCTCCCTTGGGAAAACAAAATATAATTTTCCAGATTTCAATGGTGTTTTGGATATTCACTTCCCTTTTATTTCCTGTCTCCATACATGCAATAGATGTGTATACCTTTTCTCTAATCTACTATGGTCATTTTATCCCATGAACTCAATTACCAAACCCTTTAATAGCAGAGGAAAAGCCCTCCCTTCCCTACGATAAAATTGAAAATTTTATGTTTCTTATGTTTTGCCACAATTTAAAAAACACTTTAAAAGATACCACTTACAAAATAACACAGGCAGGTACTGACAACCAAATTTTCTGTCCTGGGACCTAAAGACAGTGAAATACCCCTGATGATTTAAACATGTTGACAACTTATCTAGAAGTGTTGTTTGTCAGCAAATACTCCAAAAAAGGGTTTTGTGAGGTGGTTGCAGCATCCTTTCGTGGTATAAGTGGGTTTCTGGCAGTCTGCAGCTCTAGTCAGTTAGAACTGACACTCCCCTAGAGATTTCTCGAGCTGGTGAGTTTGCAATCATTATTACAGGTTATAGCATTTAGATTTTTTTGGAAGTTTTGGAGCCTTCCTTTTTATGCTTGGTTATAATCCATGTTCTCTCTTCTGGTATTACCTTATAAACTTGCACTGCTATTTTTACTACTCTTTTTTCTTGCTAAGTAATGAAAATTCACTCATTCTGGAAACAAAGTATTAGACAAAGCCAGTTCTGCCTCAGCAAACAAGATAAAGCAAATCCTAAGATCTGCAGGGCTTACCTGTGGAAGTCTTATCCTTGGCTGCAAATCCAGTGTGGCTTGAGCAACAGCCTGGCTCAGTGCTATTGCCAAACTGTTATTCATTGAATCAGTCTGTTTCCATCATATGATTAGGCAATCTCTGACATGTAGCTTCCCTGTTCATCAAGGCACCATGTGAAAAAGAGTTGAAGGATGACCACACAGGAAAGAGTTGACAGCAGATTTTAAAATTCCTGCTGGAAGATGGGTCTTTGGCCGGCATTTGGGGACTTGGGGTTCATTAAAATTCCTTGGGCTGACATAATTTTCCTAACATAGAAGTGGCTTACTGTGCCTAGACTGTTAGTTGAAACTGTAAGAGTGTTACACTGAATACTGTATTCCCTTGTCACGGGGGCTGGGGAGGGTATCAATGAGCTCAATTGGCAGAGGGAGGCCACGTACTACATTCTTTTTTTCTGAGGGAAGAAAAAACTCTGACTCCTCCTGGGGGAAAATAATATGCAGATAATACAGCTTGAGGATTCCTCTGGGTTCCACTTGGGTCCTTTTCCTCTAGAATCTACTGCTGGCTGCTTGCTATGTCACTATCAACAATTTTAGCGATGAGTGCAACTACATCTTGTATCCCATCAGGCATTCTAGGTAAAGTACAAATGTGGATGCATCATTTGGACATCCATCACAGGACCACAGAATATTTTTAAAGGGCTCACTTGAAATTGGTGTGTGTAGAATTTATTCACACATCATTTATTGGGACCTTACCATTTGCTCCCAACCTTCTCACTGCAAGTAGAGCTAGCAGCTCTCACAGATTCAATGGACATTGGATAACTGTAAATCATAGCTCCTGTCATACAGATTCCTCATCATTTTTGTAATTCTTCATGCCCTTTCTCCCATGGTAGCTTTTCATTTAAAAAATTACTGATTTATTTCCATTTTATTTGAAAGGCAGAGACAAAGATGGAGAGACAGACATCTTCTATTTGTTGAATTGCTCGCCAAAGACTCACAGCAGCTGAGACTTAACCAGGTCAAAGCCAGGAGCCAAGACCTTCATCTGAGTCACTCACATGGGCAGCAGGTGTCCAGGAACTAAATCCATTACTGCTGCTTCCCAGGGTGTGCACCAGGAGGATCTGGATTGGAAGCTGAGGAGCCAGAATTTGAATAAAGAGCCCTAATATCAGATGTAAGCACCATATGCCGATGGTTGACTCAACTGCTATGCCAACTGCCTGCTTTTTACGTGTGTTTTTACTTGCAACATTTAATTTAATGGAATTTCCAAGGTTGAGCTTTTCATAGCTTTATTTTTTTATGTCTCCACTTAAAAGAAATCATCTCCCAAATGAATGCTTAAAATATTTCCATTAAATTCTCCTAGTAAAATTTGTTTTACTTTTTATAATATGTGCAAACTTTACTTTTTGCAATTTACTTTTTGTATTATCTTTTATATTTTTTCAATAAATATACTGAAAATATGTTTTTATGTAAGTAATAAAATAAAGACTTAGGAATAAGGGCAAAGGACACATGCCCAGTGTAGAAGAAATGGCCTGTAACATGGGTCGCTATGGAGGGACACTTACAAGAAATTACTGACTACAAATGAGTACAGCTAGTGCAAGATGTGATGGAGAGATAGGACAAGGGAAGAGTATGTAGGGCCTCTTAGAGCTGTTATCTCAGCATAAGAAGCAGCTAGGAGCAGGAACCATGTGAATAAGGGCTTATGCCTGTGAGTTGAAGGATGAAAAAAATAGAGGCGGGTAGACAATAAAAGTCACTAATGTCCATGATGGAGAGAATGATATGGTGACGGTGACATTATCAAAGGAGTCATCATGATTCTCAACTAAGGGTGGGGTCTTCTCTGTGTGGAAAAGGGCTGCAGAAGACAATCAGTACACTGAGCATGTTGGGGTGGCTTCCAGTTGGCTTGAGGCTGGTGTGGGCTGGAACTCAGCACTGAAGATCATGATACCCATGCTGTAAGATCTCTGCTTGGAAAGGCTCTGTGGCTCCTCCAAAAGCAGGGACTCCCCAGGCAGGGCCAGGCGTCACAAGCACGTGAAACCTCAGCCTTCCTGAGCACCCTTTATGTGCAGAGAGGAGGCAGCTGCGCAGTGCTGTGGACTCACTGCTGGAGCAGAAGTACACAGATGTCTGGGCAGCCGTGGCTGACTCCAGCGTGAGGGAGAATACCTCCATGTTTGATCTAGAGACCGTGTACCCGTTGGAGACGTCTCCTTTTTCCGAGCTGTTAACACCGTATGAGTAATGGATCAGCCTCAACCCAGATTCCAGGTCTTGTCGGTACCAGTGCATGTTTCTGTGGTTGTCAGTCTGGTGACATTTCAGAGTGACTTTCCTTTCTGTCTCTGTGATCTTGTACCTTGGGATCTGGGTGATTCCAGCATCTGTGTGTCCTGTAATAGAGGGATGTTGTCCCACGAGAGAGGGTTGAATTGTGGTTTTGGGATTAACAGAGGAGGAAGCCCACTTGTGACCATCACTCACCAGCCCACAGGAGACTAAAGACCACGGTGAAGAAGAGCTTGGTGCCCATTTCAGCCACAAGGCAGAATCTTGCGTCTTCTGACCCTGCTTTGGGGAGATAGAACTTGGGCTGCTCCTGGTTACTCAATGATGTCAGTGTCTTCAACAAATGTAATCACTGAGACACACCCCTTCCCTGCAGGAACAAGCCACTTATCAAGTGCACACTATAATTCATAGTATTTAGTAATACTTTGCAGCATAAAACACATAAAACACACTATTTGTCATCTTACTATGCAAAGAATTTGTATTCCATTTTAAAAGAGATCTTACAGGTACATATTTGTTTCCCTGATTTTAGTGAGCCAATCTGTTTCCCTAGGCATATTTTATTCCTATTATGATAACATTTCTTATGAATACACTGCTATAGTTATTTCTAGTATAGAAACACTATACTATATAGAAATGCTCTAAGAAGCATCTTCTTGGCAGTCACGCTGTATCTCTTCACTCCTCTGGTCTAAACCTCGGGTCTGAACCTTTTGCAAGCACCTTTCATTAGTTTTACTCTTTGCCTAAATTCTAGATGATTGGATGCTAACCTGCAGCAATAGCCCTGACTACACAAGCCACTTGACATCCAGGAAGGTTTAATAATCTGAAGGTCAGTTTCACTGGAATTTGAATTGGTGTATGCTTTCTCACATCAATTGAACTCCTAAGAGCTCTGCTTGTCAACGTGGGGCTTTGTGTTCCTGTGAATAGGAATTATCCTTTTGTATCAGGGAGGCCATGGACCCTGGGTCACCTAGGTTCCTGTGACTGTCCTTTCCGTGAAGTGAAGGGCTGACTCATGAACAATGTGGATGGGAGGCACTGAGAAATACGTATGTCTGGTGCCTCTGGTGTCACAGGGACAAGCTATGTCTCCATAGAGATCTTGTATCCATCAAATGCGATAGTATGGATTTATCATAAATGTGGAATTGTACAGAACTTACGTCTAGTCTATAGTAGTCTGCAATGCTGCTGTCCACCAAGGCCTTTTCTCAATGCCAGTCTATGTCTTTGCAATGTCTGTCCTGGTGGTTTCTGCATAGGGCTTTCTACAAACACGCCCCAATGAGCAGGGCAGAGAATCAGAAGTAGACATGGTGAGTCCGTGCTATGTTCCCCTGGGAAGGCTGAGACTGAGGTTGGGCAGGCCCAGGAAAGCCTCTCGCTTCTATTTGTGGAGCTCGGCTGGTGTTAGGGGATGAGCGCTACCTGGCAATTCCATTTCCATGGATGGGTCAGAGGAAGGGAGGTATGTCTTTATGTCTTCTAGTTCAGAACTCGGATCTCTGGCAGGAGGCCCATGGTATCCCACAGCTCTCAGCGCTGATCTCCAAACCTGCCGGTGATGGAAGCCTTCCAAGTGGCAGTCTGAATTTTTTGTGAAGGGAAGCATCCATGAGGAGTACCTGCTTTTCGTTCACTGTTGTATTATTTAGTGATTATTGAGCCATAAATTTCCTATCAGTGGACGCATAACTCCATCTTGAAATGCTTGAAATGCTAATAGGACTAACAGTATGGCTTCATATAAAATAATGTTCTGGAAGTTGGGAGATAGTGAACCAAAGCCAATCATCCAATTGAATAGATGACTTTTTGTTACATCTTACTAAAGATCAGGGGACACAGTGGAGGCTTAGGAGAACCTTGATTTTGGAAGCAATAAGAGATAGCTTGGTTCCTGACTCTGATGCTTAGAAATATGAAGCTTCAGGGCCTGGCACAGTAGCTTAGCAACTAAAGTCCTCACTTGGCACCTGCCAGGATCCCATATAGGTACTAGTTCATGTCCTGGCAACCCTGCTTCCATCCAGCAACCTGTTTGTTGCCTAGTAAAGCAGTTGAGGACGGCCCAAGGCCTTGGGACCCTACACACACGTGGGCAACCCGGAAGAGGCTCCGGGTTCCTGGTTTCAGATCGGTTCAGCTCCAGCCGTAGTGGCCACTTAGGGAGTAAGCCAGCAGACATAAGAACTTCCTCTCTGTTTCTCCTTCTCTCTGCATAGGTGCCTTTCCAATTAAAAAAAATTAAAAATTAAAAAAGGGTCCAGCACGGTAGCATAGCGGCTTAAGTCCTCACCTTGCATACAGTGGGATCCTATACAGGCACCGGTTCGTGCCTTGGTGGTCCTGCTTCCCATCCAGCTCCCTGCTTGTGGGCTGGGAAAGCAGTCGAGGACAGCCCAAAGCCTTAGGGCTCTGCACTAGTGTGGGAGACCCAGAGGAAGCTCCTGACTCCTGGCTTTGAATCGGCTCAGCTCCAGCCCTTGCGGTCACTTGGGGAGTGAATCAATGGATGCAAGATCTTCCTCTCTGTCTCTCCTTCTCTCTGTAATCTGACTTTCCAATAAAAATAAATCTTTAAAATAAATAACTAAAAAAATATTTTTTTAAAAAAAAATATGAAACTTCAGGAAAATCTGAGAACTACCAACAGCTGCTTACTTGTAAAATGATGCCCTGGGGTCTTCCTCATTGGTGCAGTGCGTGCTCAGAGATCTATGCGAGCATTAAACTTTTGAGTGTACCTGCACTTTATTGCAGAGTGGGGGTACTTGTCATTTGTTGGCAATTAGAAGATGCTGGCAGAGATGTGAGAGCAATCCCTGGTCTGGGACCCCAGTGTTCAGGAACTCGCT